TTTCCCTATAGTTTATTTGTCTTTAATTTAAAGCTAGATGAGGCCAAAAAAGTAGGTTTTTTAAAAATGTCTCTTAAGACAAAAGCTGTGCTGCAGAGTATGCACTGATGGCCTGAAGCATAGGGAAATGGAGAAGGGATGCCTGTACATCAGCTAAATAATAAGGTTAATAGGACAGTTGACGCTCAGTTTATAGCTGTTACCTTGCAAGTTCTGGGCTATCCTCATCCTGTTCCTGCTCTCCCCCCTGCCCCACCATGTGTATATGTGGACTCATATTCTGATTCTGCCTGGGTAGGTGCATGGTGTGGTGACAGCACTGCATTGCCTGATAATAGGGCTTTGTACCTTTAGATGTTTAATGGTTTGGAGGCACTGTACTTGAAGCATAAAGCACAAATCAGACACAGTCTGCAGTGACATGGCTTGAATTACTGCTTTTCATTTTTAAGTACTATCCATATAGAAAAAGAGTAACAAATACAATGCTGCAGTTTGTGGTGTTGATGTAAAATACAGCTAATTTCCTTAGTTACACTTACTCTGAAGTTGCTTTTGCTACCATTGTCTGTCCAAAAAGTGTGATTTAAAGAATAGTCTCTGTTGTCAAACCCTAGTAATAATGATCACGTACAGAAGCAGCTTTGAGGCATTCAGGAAAGCTGTAACATATGATAATCTGATGAGTACAAGTATATAATCCTAGTCCCAAAGGGATGGACCAGCATGGCAAAATATTCTTAGGAAGAATGGACACAAGCCTGCATCATGTAGGTGTCATTAGTCAAAAATACAACTGAGCAAATGGATTAATGTCAGTCTTGCAGTAAGCCCTCATGTCATGAGAAAAATCTTTGCAAAAGTATATTTAGGTAATACTTGATTCTCTAATTACATTCTAAATTCTTCTGGCTTTAAAATACTTCAGTCAGTGACTTTTTAATCTATAGTGCAGAGGTCACACAATTTCTGTCCAACATGTAAACTTAGGACCTTAAATATGCAGGACAAAGTTGCCCAACCTGTACTTCTTCCTTGCTGTAAGTTTTTCTATAATTCCTGAAGTGAGGTAGGGGAGGAGAAGGAATGTGAAGCTGCTGAGAGAAAAAAAATATCTTTCTGTACCCCAGCTACTGATCTTTTAGTGGTAATTAAACACTGCTTCCCTTTTTTTTTTCCCCCCAGAATTCCTTTTTCATGGCATAGTACAGAAATAATCGCTATTTGCATATATCTCTCTGATATGAAAACCTGGTATAGTCATGAAGTTAACCATCTATTTTGGAGATGGACTACATGACTTCACTGAATATGAAATGGTAAAGTGGTGATCATCGTAATTCTAATGTTGTGATACGGATATTTACTGAAGTGCCCTACTTGCTGAAACAGAGGGGAATTAGTTACCTAGGTTAAAGTTCCTGCTCATTAGTATTCTACTCCTTGCCAACGGTATGTAATTCTGGTGTAAAACTGTTTTCTGTGTTTAAAATAATCCTATATTGCAAAATCTTCACTTGTATTTTCGTCACATTAATTTTTGGCAACAAGTATGCATTGGGTACTTTGCATCAGTGGACAAACGCAGCATCAATATTAAAAATGCACTTCCTCGCTTATTTCTGTAACTGAAAGAATGTAAGTTATAACAAGATTGTTTTCCCAGTTACAGGTTTACATTCTAGATTTAAAACGCAGCATCAATATTAAAAATGCACTTCCTCGCTTATTTCTGTAACTGAAAGAATGTAAGTTATAACTTAAGATTGTTTTCCCAGTTACAGGTTTACATCCTAGATTTATACATGTGTTCTTTCTTCAGCAGATGCTGAAGCCAGAGATAAAGATTATGGTAGCAACTTTCTGGCAGACAGTTGTATGCTGTTCAGAAATGAACATGCACCATCACCATCTCCAAACAGGATAAGAAATTACACTCAAAATGTGTAATTTCTTGTATGTTTAATGGAATCAGTAACTGAATCAACCAGTTAAACACGTGAAACTTGAACTATATATAGCATGTCAACTGATAAATGTCAACTATATAAAATATCAGTTAGTTTTATTATAAAGGCACTTTTATTTAAAAGCAAAGCAGCATTCAAAGTAGATACTGGGCTAGGTCCTTCTTGGTGAATGTTCATTCTGTATGTGTAAAGGAATCAAAAGTCATCTTAGTCAAGCCTGAAGAAAGTGAGAATGAGAAAACAGTACACCTCACCCTGCCTTCTGCTGTCCAAACATTTCATTTTGCTACCCAGTTAACAGGGTTGTTGCTGTCATCAGTTTGGTGAGTACTACAGTTACTTTAGGAGGTATTAACCAATTCTGATAGGTATAGCTAAAGGACTTACTAAATCCTAGAGGTGTGTAGCTAGAGAGTAAGGTGATGCATTGGCAAAGTAATGAGCAAACCCTTACGTTCAGAACTGCTTGTCAGCTTAGTGCAGGTTTTGCACACTGTTCATCATGTCACATCTTAGCAAATGTGACTGTAGTATAACATTTATGCAAGTATAATACAGGATTCTATTTAAATATTTCATTTTCTAGCTACTGAAATTGTTGTTTTTCAGCAGATTTTGTTCCTTTATTTGAAACTGGAACTTTACTGTTAGTGCCAATTCTTGCTCCTGCTGGAATTTTAAAAATGCAGCCTCAGTGAAGTTTTTGATTAACACACAAAGCCTTTATGTAAAGGGAAATAATTTTTTCCCCCCAATCCAAAAGAAAAATAGAGACTTCTAGAACAGTTTTGTTATCTCACTTCCTTTGTAGCATCTAATTCGTCCTCTTCGTCATCTTCCTCCTCTTCATCTTCATCTTCCTCTTCCTCCTCCTCTTCTTCCTCTTTTCTTAGCATACTGCTGGAAATCTGCCAAAACAAAAATCCAACAAAAGTAAATGAACTGTTTGTTCTAGAAGAAAAAATTTCTATTGCCATTCCTAGTCTAAGTACTTGCAGGTTGTTCCTTTAGGAGGAGCGGGGGGGAAGTAGTTTATCCTTTAACCCTTCAACTGCTAGTAAAATGTACAATGCCAACAGAAAGATACACAGCACAGAATATAAGTACAGTAATGATTTTTGAAAGCTAAGAAAATACTCATAATCCTGAGAACTATTATAGGATAGGGAAAACTATGTGTTGATGCAGTTGATGTTAAAAATGAACAAGATGTAAGTCAGTTTTTTTCTGAGTTGCCTGTTGAGGCATCAGGCTGAAGATGACTATTAAGGCATAATCTTATCTTGAAGACATCAAACCTCTTCAGTTAAGTGCAAAAATCAGCACTATGCTGCTCTAAGCTGGTTTTGAGAATAAATTATTCAAACTTTACTAGAAGAGTCTTGATTCATGTATGAACTTCTTTCCCTGCCCATCAGTGCTTGCCCTTCAGAATGATCCTTTTTGGTTCATCAATTGTTAAAAACAAGTGCCAGCTGCCAAGCTCTCATCTCATCTGACAGATTCTGCAATCTATACTTTTTTCTAATGAGGGCTCAATCTAATTCCTATTGAAAACAGATTCTTCACAGAAGATGCAACATTTACAATTTAAAGTAGAATATATATTTTTTTCTATCCCCATGAGAAAAGGAACATTAAATTCAAAGACAGTTATCCAAGTCATCTGGAAAGCTTTTGAAAAATGATTTTAGGTTCA